AGGAGGAGGAGGAGGAGGGGAAAGGGCAGGACTTTTCCAACCTGCGAGTTGCTGGTCGAGTCTTGAGGGTTGGCGCTGATAACGACCTGAGAGTCGATGCTGAAGACCTGCAGGAGGGTCAACTTCCCTCCTACCCCTCTGGAGATTCACCCCAAAGACTCCGAGAGCGTCCGCAGTCGTAGAGACGGCGGAGGATGACTGGAGGATGGAAGGCATTACGCGGAGGAGGAGGAGGAGGAGTAGGAGTAGGTGTAGGAGCAACAGCAGCGGCAGGAAGAGGAGGAGGAGTACAGCAAGTTCAGAGGAGGGGGGTTGGAGGGCAACCTGATTCTGCCACACGCCGATCCTCTGCCATTCGGAGGAACGATTCAAGAGCCTGACGTCCGTTCTCAGTCGAGCGAGGAAGGAAAGCTGGGGACAAGGAGGGGGAGAACAAGGAAGGAAACGAAGGAAAGGGAAGGGAAGAGGAGAAGGGAACGGTGGAGGGAAGGGAAGAAGAGAGGGAAGAAGAGAGGGAAGGGAAGAGAAGGGAAGAAAAGAGGGGAAGGGAAGAGGAGGTGCGGAACAAGAACAAGTCGAGGATACATGAAAGGCGCCAAGAGAAGATTGAGTGAGCTCGAGCTGCATGAGACGGTCAGTGCCGACACTCCTTGAACAAACTCACTTGATGAGTGGAAGGTTGACCACAGCCGAAGCCTTCAGACCAATAGCAGGAGAAATCAACCACACCTGCGCCATGTCACTTCCAGCACTCCCCGCCCCTCCTCTCCGCTCCACTCCCCTTCCCTCCTTGTCCCTAACTCCTATTTCCCTCACTTCGCATACTCCCCATACCCCCTTTCTCTCTCCTCCCCCTTCCCAGCCCCCCCTCGCTTCCTCCTCCTTTCCTCCCCTCTCAGCCTCACAGGTCCGAACGGCTTGCATCCTGCAGGAATCTGCTGTAAACTGGCAGAGTCGATGGCCTTCCGCACGCGTCAGCTCTCCCAGCATGTCAGAGAGCATGTCTCACCATGAGCAACGGATTCTCTGCTACATCAGACGGCCAGGAGTTCTGCGAGTCACACCAAGTCACGTCACAGGGGAAGCCGCATGAAGCAGGAGCATGGCGCAACAGGTAAGTGGGGTGAGGAGAAGAAGTAAGATAAGTGAGGGAGGAGGAGGAGGGAGAGGAAGGATTGGGAAGCAGGATCGAGGAGCAGGAGCAGGAGCAGGAGCAGGAGCGGGATCGGGAGCGGGAGCGGGAGCGGAAGCAGGAGCAGGGGGTACCTGAGGGAGTTGGAGCTTGAAGCTGTCCAACAGCCTCACGTTGGTTTCTCCCAGCCTTCACCTCCATGTCAACAACGGGAGTAGCGACAAGACTCTTGACATGTTGTCGTTGACGCTGACTTGTAGCGACGCGCCGGCTGACAATGACTGAAAGCTTCCGGCGAGGAGGGAGAAGTTGAAAGTTTGATAGACATGGATCTTCACGGCATGTTCAGATTTCCACACAAGTTTAGTCCTCCTCCTTACCGTCCCCAGAGCTTCAAAGCCGACGATCACATGACGATCAACCGCTGGAACCAGGTGTTACATTGAAATATCCCATTGGAATATCACTTTGAGATCGAATACACATCAGATTGAGATATCAGATTGATGTATCAGGTTGAGACATCAGATTGACATGCGAGATCAAAATGAGTCTGTTACAACAAGACTCCTTGTCGACCCTTCACATCTCACGCGAACATGCAACATCCTTCACCTGACACAAGTAGAAGGAAGGACAGCAAGACCAGACCCTTTGTTTCGTCAGTCAGGTCCTCCCCACAAGCTCACTCAGCAGCAGCTCACCTGCAGAATCTGCACCACGTGGCGTCGAGACATTCTCATCTTCTCTCACTCCAGCCTCTCATCACCAGCCTCGCAACTCCGGCCTCCTCCGTCCTCGTCCATACAAGGAATCAACAGCTCCCTACGTGCTCGAACATGATAACCAGCAAGGGAATCCGATGGCCGCAACACAAAAAAGTCGGGGAGGAGAAAGAGTAGCTGGAGGAAGAAATGCGGCAGGCAGACCAGGTATTAGACCAGGGCAAGAAGAGGAACAAGACGAGGAGAACTGGAGGCGGAGGCGGAGGCGGGGCAAGCAGGGGAGGTGGTGGCGGCGGCAGAGAAAATGGTGGTGGATGACGGAAAGATGATGGTGTCGACGGTTAAAGTGTTGAAGGTAGTAGTGTGAGAGAAAAGGAGAAGAGCAAGGTGGTGGTGGTGGTGAAGGAGGAGGACGACAGAAGGAGGACAAGGGAAGGAGGACGTGAGAAGGAGACGGAGGGAAGGAGGGCAAGAGAAGAGGAGGACGAGGGAAGGAGATGGAGGAGGAGGAGGAGGAGAAAGAGAGAAGGAGGAGGACAAGTAGGAGGAGAGATGGAGGACGAGCAGGAGGAGAGATGGAGGACGGGCAGGAGGTGGAGGAGGAGGTGGAGGTGGAGGAGCCAAGAGGACAAAGGGGAGGAGGTTCAAAATCCCTTTGCCCTCAGGATACACTGAGGACAGCAATTATCTATATAGGTGAAAACATAGTAAAATTTCAATGCCTCATGAATCTTATTATCAGGTTCAGTTGCCCTGCCAGGGCAGCACTGAAACCGTGTTGAACCGTTGAACCGGCCGGCCCGGGGCGATGATCGGACCGGTGACCCGGGGCGGCGGGCCTGAGAGCCTGGCCCGGCCGGCCAGGCTCAGTCCCCTCAGCAACTTCCGTCAGTGGCACTGACTCCGGGCGTCAACGGAGTCAACCGTTGAACTGTTCAAGTCAACTGAGTTGACCCGGGCCGGTGACAGACGGCCCGGCCCGGCGGTGCCAGGGCCCGCGCTCCCGGCGTCGGAGCCGTGAACGCATAGAACCGGTTGAACTTCGGAACTTTTCCGGGCGGGGCCCGGCGGCCGGGTTAACTTTCAAGTTCTGAGTCACTGACTCAGAAAGTACTACGGTAAACGGGGCCGGGCCCGCCGCGGCCGCCGCGCCGCCGGGCGGCGGGCCGCCGGAGCCGGGGGGGCCGGCGATCGGACCCGGCGTGGGTCCGAGTCAACGGTCTGTCCCGGCGCCGTCACTCAGCGGCCGGCGCCCGGCGCCCGGCGGGCCTCACTGAGGCGAGTCAGGCCCCCTGCCGGCCACCGTGGCAGTCACTGAACGACTACGCCCGGTCCGAGCCACCGCCGTACGTAGTACTAGGGCCGTACCAGTGCGGTACCCTCACCGCCGACGGTACGGTACTCGGCGGACCGGCCGGGCACTCGGCTCAGCTAGTCACTGTGACTGGCAGGCTGACTCAGTAACGGTTTCTCCCGCGCCGCAACTCAGACGTTACGGATCCCGCCGCGCTGGGCGCCTCCCGCCATGGCAGAGCCCCTCGGATCCCACAAGTTATAGGGTAGGGTAGTACAAATAGCCTACCATTACCGTAGGAAAACATAGAAAGTTTGTGGGTGGGGTCCATGAAGGACCCTCGGATTGCAGGGGTGGAGAAAAGTGGAGCTGTGGAGCTTTCAGGCTCAGCCCGTCCACAAGGCGGGAAAAGGGGTAGGGGTGGCAATGTGGGGTGGGGGTGAAATTCATTGATTCAGAAGGGTAGTGGGAAAGTGAAAGGGTGGGTGTGCAAATTCCGCATGCTGTTTTTAGGGTGGGTATTGAAAATGTATGAGGGGTAGGGCAGGCAGAGTAGTGGTGACATACCTGTCTGTATTGTTGTATTCTGATGGGTGAGGGAGGACAATTCTCTATATACAGGGTAGGGTGTAAAGCAAGTACCGGTAGTAATTTGTCGGATGTGCTCCTCTGACAGGTGGGGTAAAAAACATATGGGTAGGGTTCAAATTTTGGGGGTGGGGGTTCGAGAGTAGGGGTAGGGTGAGGGGGTGAGGGTATAAGAAGCGTCGGGCAGCGAATTGGCGGGAAAGAGAATGTAAGAGAGCATGCGACATGGGCTGTGTGTGTGGGGAGGGAGAGAGAGGAGAGAGGAGAGGAAGAAGGAGAGAAGAGAAGAGGAAGAAGAGAGGAGAGAAGAAGAAGGTGGAGTAGGATAGAACAAGAGTTGAGCTCGATTGTTCCATGTCAACAAGTCAGTGAGACTGAGATAGTGGATTCTACAACTGGAGGAAGGGGACTAGGTGTGATTTTACATGCACAATATTTGAGAAGATCCACAAGAGGCGACCGAATTTGTCTTCATTCGCTCGAACGATCCAGTACTTGAATTAGTTAGATTCTTGTGTTGTCTTGATGGACATACACAGTTTGGTGTGAATATGTACTTGGAATACTGGTGAATATCATTAACCATGGATGTTTTATGCAGACCATGTTCGAAGCAAGACTCGCACAAGGAAGTTTGTTGAAGAAGCTCATCGAAGCCATTCGTGAGCTCGTTACCGATGCTAACTTCGACGTGTCCACCAGCGGAGTTTCCCTCCAGGTTGACTCTTGTGACAACACGCTTCTTGAGAGCTCATCGACCCTCTCAGGCTATGGACACCAGCCACGTCTCCCTCGTCTCCCTCCTCCTCCGCGAGGATGGCTTCGAGCACTTCCGCTGCGACCGCTCCCTCTCGCTCGGGCTCAACTTGGCGTCTATCACTAAGATGCTCAAATGCGCCAACAACGACGACGCCATTACCCTCAAGGCCGAGGACCAGGGCGACACTCTCACCCTCATGTTCGAGAGCCCCAGTGAGTCCCCTCGGCCTTCCCGCCCAGCTGTCGCTGACATGTGCTGAAGACCAGGATCGTATCTCCGACTTCGAGATCAAGTTGATGGACATCGATAGCGAGCACCTCGGGATCCCCGACACGGAGTACAAGGCCACCGTGAAGATGTCGGCAGCCGAGTTCCAGAGGATCATGAGGGATCTCTCAACCATCGGAGACACAGTCAGCATCTCCTGCACCAAGGAAGCTGTGAAGTTCTCCGTGGAGGGAGACATCGGACAGGGCAACGTCATCATGAGACATAACGCTGCTGTCGACAAGGTCCCGCTGCTTCCCTTCGTCTCCTCCCTCCCCCCTCCCTCCCTCCCTCCCTCCCTCCCTCCCTCCTCTCCCATTCCGACTTCCCTCCTCGCTCCCCTTCCGCTCCCATCCCCTTTCAGCCCTCCCTGCTCGTCCTCTCTCCCCTTCCGTTCTTCCCTCTTCGCTCCCTTCCCTCTCCATCCCTCCTAATCCCTCCTGACTGGCTTGCAGGAGGACGAGGCTACCATCATTGAGCTGGAGGAACCTGTCTCGCTCACCTTCGCTCTGAGATATTTGAACCTCTTCACCAAGGCCACCCCCCTCTCCTCCACTGTCACTCTCTCTATGTCTCCTGACGTACCCCTGGTCACCGAGTACAAGGTCTGTTGCTTCCTCCGCATGCTGAGCCGCTGACGTGCGAGCAGGTTGGCGACATGGGCAACATCCGATTCTTCCTCGCCCCCAAGATCGACGAGTAACTTTCACCTCGAAACTTTTTGCATGGAGGAGCCCCTGCGGACTCTCCTTGCCTCACTGTAACATGAGACATGAAACAAGAAGATAAATCTTGATTAAAACATTCAAAACCATCAATTACTTGAAATCGTTGTGAGAGAGCGTGAGATGAGAGATGAGAGGAGGAGCATGAGATGAGCTGATGGCAACAGAACATGACAAGAGGAGACGTTTGCACGTTTATTCAGGTCATGAGAAGCTGACTGCTGGTTTGCCGGGAGTAGCAGGATTGTTGCTGCGATGAAGTGAGGAGGAAACGGAGAGCGCGAGAGCGAGACCAGGAAGGAGGCAGAAGAGAGAACAACAGGGTACAACCAGGGAGAGAGAGAGAGCAGAACAAGTGGTTACAGAAAGGAGCGGGAGGAGAGGAGCGGGAGGAGAGGAGGAGCGAGAGGAGAGGAGGAGCGAGAGGAGATGAGAGCACATTCATACCTCAGGTTCTTGAGGACGGCAGGGTCTGAAGGAGGCCACTTGGTCACCTCGATCTCCTCCACGCTGAGCTCTCCCTGAGCAATTGGGGTCAGGCAGAGGGAAGGGGACGGGAGGGGAGAGGAGGAGAAGGCGGGGAAGGGAGAAGGAAATGGAGGAGGGGAGGAGGAGAGAGAGCAGGTGGAAGGAAAGCAACCTTGAGATACTCGATGCTGTCGGTGAGGAGACGAACTTCATCGTAAGGAACCTGCCATGTATCTCAGCAAACCCGTCTTCTCTCATCCGCCCTCCGCCCTCCCTCCCTCCCTCCCTCCCTACTACCTCGCCCTTCCTCCCCCGCTCCCTCCTCGCCCCTCACCTTGAGTTCGAAGGCCTCGGGTCCACGGGCCTCGAACTCGTCGATGGAGAAGGCGGCGAAGGGCATGAGGACCTTAGTCTGAGCCTTGAAGGGAGCGAGCTCGGGAAAGCTCATCATGTTCTTCTTGAAGTCCTTCCCGAAGCTCTCCCCCTTGTCCACCACCGACCTCAGCACATTCAGCGCCGCCTGCTGCCAGTCCAGGAACTCGTCGGCCACGTAGACGGTCGCCTTGGCCACGGCCTTCTTGGCTCGCGCCTTGTCGGTCTTGGCTCGGATGTCCGACAGCGTCTTGTCAAAGTAGCTGTTCATGCGCACCAGCAGCGGGTCGACGTCTCCCACCTCCGGCCAGCGAGCCTCCATGACGCTTTCCTTGTGCCCCAGCAGCCCCCACACGTACTCGGAGTAGTGAGGGCAGATGGGAGCGATCACGAGCGTCTGGCACGTGATGAACTTCTTGATCAGCTCCGCGTGCATGCCGATGGGCCCGGCCATGGCGCGGTACTTGTCCCGCGCGTTCTGGAGCTTGTCCCAGCCTTCGATGACCGACTCGCGGAACTGCATGCGGCGGTAGCACTCGTCCGCCGACTTGACAAGACGATTGATCTCGTTGTCAAAATTCTTGTCGATGAAGAGGTCGAGCTCTCCCGTCCTCATCTTGTCCAGCTCAGTCAGCGACTTCTCCACGAACTGAAGCTCGTTGGTCAGTTTCAGGATCGCCGCGTTCGCCACGTCATGCTCGAAGTTTGCGTCCTCGTTGCCATCGCCCGCCAGCGCCAGCGCGAATCGCATGCCGTCAGCCGAGTACTCGCCGATCGCCTGCTTGAGGGTCTTGAAGTTGCCGGTCGACTTTGACATCTTCTCGTTGTTGAGCAGGACGTGGCCGTTGGTGCGGATGGAACGGGGCCAGTGCTTCTTGGGGAAGATGGCGGCATGGTTGTAGAGGAAGAAGGTAAGGTGGTTCTGAATCAGATCCTTACCGGACACGCGCAGGTCGACGGGGTACCAGTAGTTGAACTCCTGCTTCATCCTCTCCAGCGTCTCCTGCGGCACCTTGCTGTCCTTGGGCTGGGGCCCGTCCAGCAGGATATAGTCCCAGACCTCCTCTGTGAGATCCTTGGCGACGACGCCAGCGGGCCCGGGCACGGAGCCGTCGAAGGGGCCCTGGTGGAGGATGTGGCAGAAGGTGTAGTAGGCCATGTAGATGGTGGAGTCAGAGAGAGACTCGATCACAAACTGCTTGTCCCATGGCAGCAGCGTCCCCAGACCGAACGACCTGGAGCAGCCCCACTCCCCCAGCCAGCTCAGAGCTGCCTCGAACTTGGACTTGGTGTCGTCTGAGTAGCAGTTGAGGTCCTTCTGCAGATGCTCTTCCACCTGCTTCCTCCACTCCTCCTCTCCGTACTTGATGTACCACTGATCCGTCAGGGCCACCACACACTCGTTGCCGGACCGAGACATCACCTCCTTCTCCGGCTCAGCGTACGAGTACGCGTTGTTCTCCTCGAGCATCTGAGCCTTCACCCTGTTCTTCGCCTCTTGCACGGGCATCCCCTTGAAGTCTCCGATGGTCATCTTCCCCTCGTAGAACCCGAGCTTGTACGTCTTCGCCTTGGCAAGCACCAGCTTCTCCTTGTCATTCTGTGAAGCCACCTTGTACTCCTCGCACGCCACCTTAGCCGCCAGGTCCGTCAGCTCGGGCTCGGCTCCCTCCGGCGCGTCGTCGCGCTTGTAGGGGATCTCGATGATGGGGATGAGGTCGAAGGGCAGGACCCACTCGTCCTTGACCCCGTACTTCTCCCTCAGCGCCGGCTTGTTCTTGAGGTCCATCAGCGCCTGGTAGTCGTCCGGCGCGTCCGATGGCACCTGCCCCCCACGTCACTCCCTGCCAGAACTGCTGCTGCTGCTGCTGCTGCTGCTGCTGCTGCTGCTGCTGCTGCTGCTGCTGCTGCTGCTGCTGCTGCTGCTGCTCTTCCCCACCACCAACAACAACAGCTGCCACCATCACAGTCACCGCCACTCCTGCTCCTGCTCCTGCTCCTGCTCCTGCTCTGCCATCTCCACTTCCACTCCTTCTTCACTTCCTCTTCCTCTCCTCCTTCTCGCTTACCGAGGTCACGACACCCGTTCCCTTCTTCATGGAGATGGTGAGCATGGGGAGGGTGTAGATGGGGCACAACTTGGTGAGAGGAGCCCTGAGAACAGGATGAGAAAGAAAAGAAGACACGGAGAGGAAAGAGAGGGAAGGGAACGATGAATGAGGTTTGAGGAAGGGAGGAGATAGGAAGGAGGAAAAGGAGAAGCAGGTGGGGGAAGAGGGAGGAAGAGGAGGAGGAGGATGAGGAGGAGGAGGAGGAGGAGGAGGAGGAGGAGGAGAGGGAAGAGGAAGCTAGCACGGGCTCACCTGAGCGGGAGTCCCACCAGGTCTCTTCCTCGCACTCTCATCACTTCCCTGACCTCGCCGAACTGCCAGCAGGACGTCACGAGCTCTTTCAACCCGCTGCTGCCTCGTTACCTCCGGCGTCAGCCCCTGGAAGGCCATGTTCCTTGCCGCCCGCTCCCCGACGATGGCTGGAGGTCAGAAGATCAGCAAGAGGAGATGAAGGAGAAGCGGGCGAGGGGCAAGCGCCAGAAAAGAGAAAATGAGGGAGAGGAGGAGGAGGTGGAGGGGGGGAGGAGGGAGGAGGG